AGAGGCTGCTGGGTGTGAAACGCAGCGTCTTCAGGTGAGGCCTGGCGTCTGCAGAAGTCCGCTTTTCAGGCAGGTCCTGTAAGCAGTGGACTTCAACTTACGTGCTTTTGGGGACTTCTGAAAACTTCCAGGTGCAAATCTGGACCGCTGTTTAGGCAACGTAAACCATATGGTAATAGGCTTTTTATTATTACTCAAGTTCATTTTATCTGTCTCATTTAAATGAAGCCCTTACAGACTCTTGGCATAACTGTGAGGGTGGTAAACGGTGGCATGTGGGCGAAATGAATGGTGTTATTGAGGGAAAGAAAGCCCCTTAGTCTGGCTTTGAGACTAGAGGAAACGGAACGTAAGAATCTAATGTGTCACCTTTCTCAGACAGATCTCTGATCACTGCTATAGAAGAAATCTGTTCTTTTTTGAAGTAGTAGACTTCTGACAGGAAAATTGTTGTGAAACTACTGGTATGCATTCCTGACAAATGTACTTCATAACCAGAATTCAGAGCAGTGAAATTGCAGTCTTTGCTTCAATATGTATTTGTATAATCCCTAACTGTGTGTAGAAACAAGAGATGGCACTAGTTTTATATCTTGATTGGGGGCCCCAACGTGCTTGCTGAGCATTTTCAAATAATGATATTATTTGCTACCAGTATCCACTTCAGGCTTGCTGATTATTTGATATTCCGTTAAAGAGTTTATCCAAAAGAACTTTTCCCAAAAGGGTTGTTTATAGTTTGCTTTTCAGATACGATTCATGAAACAAATTGGATTGCCGTTCACAAAAAGGTCAATTCAGAAGACTAGATGAAAGTCTTTAGAAAAGAGCTGTATATGAGGAATGATTGATCTCTTAGGAAAACCCATTTCTGTAGCATGTTGATCCAGATTTTTTTCATGGTTTAAGGCTGTGATATTTTGGAAGCTGCAATCAGGAAATTTCATGGCTTAGCCTGTATATTCAAACTCTTGCAAACTGTCTTTGTTTGTAGCGTATGATAAACCTCGCAGAGTTGACCCCTTACATCCTGTGTTCCATCTGCAAAGGTTACTTTATTGATGCTACAACTATTACAGAATGTCTGCACACCTGTAAGTATCAGTATTGTCATTCTAAGAATTTAGTTGCAAATTCAAACAAAAATTAGCTGTTGAGATGTTCTGGCTTCACAAAGATAATTCTCTGTTTGATGTGAATGTGTGTTGTGTTTATTCTGTTCCTTAAGGAATATACATTCCTTATATCCTGTGGATATTTTAAGGATATATATTTTAATTTATAAATTAAATATATTTAATTTATATATTATAATATATTTATATATTATATAATGTATGATTATATATTTATTATATTATTAATATAAAG